CTTGTTGATTTGTTGGCCCGCCTTCACTTAGGGCGGGCACGAGGCTTGCTGGGGCCTTAGCCCAGAACATGTACATCATGGCAAGGCCCCTTCCTGAGGGCTCAATCCTCACATTCCATCCCCCTTAGCTTCGAAAGTCCGCTGAGATGCTTACTTCGCAGGTGCCTTCTCAACATGTTGTGCGTGCTCCTCGGCAGACTTACTAAAAATCAGAATGTCGTCTAAATAGACCACGACAAACTTATCTAAATGGTCATGAAAGATCCGATTCATAGCGTGCTGGAATGTTCCCGGCGCGTTACAAAGACCAAAAGGCATCACTACAAACTCATACAGACCATAACGAGTCTGAAAAGTTGTCTTGTGTTGGTCCTCTGGCCTTATAGCGATCTGATGATAGCCGGATTTCAAGTCTATCTTGCTATAGTACTTGCATCCCTGCACCCTATCCAATAGGTCGTCTATGCGAGGTAGAGGCTCTGCGTTTTTCACTGTGATGGCATTGAGGCCTCTATAATCAATGCACATCCTCAAAGTACCCCCCTTCTTCGGTACGAATAGAACGGGTGATCCGTAAGGGGAAGTACTAGGCCGGATCCATCCCTTCTCTGTCATCTCCTTAAGCTGTCGCCGAAGTTCATCTAACTCGGCGGGGGCCATCCTATAGATTCTTCCCTTTGGGGTCTTACTCCCTGGAATGATTTCTATAGCGTGGACGACTTCCCTTTCAACAACTCATGTGGGCTCCTCGAACAGATCAGGGAACTTAGCAACGACGCGTTCTATCTTTGGGGGTGTTTTAACGGCCTCCCCTTTCTCAAAGACATACACAAGGTACATACCCTCCTCCTCGTTTTGCTTATAGTAATTGTAGAACGCTGATGCGCACAAGCAGCCATAGGTATCTATAATGCTACTGGCCTTGAACTTAGTCAACCTGACAGTTCGGCCATCGGGCAACTTATGCTTAAGCACCTTCTTATCCCAGTCGAACTAGGGCTTAGCAACTTCGAGGTAGTACATGCCTAATAACATGTCAAATGGTAAGTCGTCGCTAACCAAAAATGAGATCTTATGGTTAAGTTCTCCTCCTCCATAAGAGAAGGTACAGACTACGTCCTTGATATAGTTTGTTACAATCATGCGCCCTTTGTTGGCCAAAGTAGATGCTACTGGTCTCCTAAGGTGCCGTACCCGGTCCTATAGGTACAGCCTTTCCAAACAATCGCGACTTATGTAATTTCGCGTGGATCCGATGTCTATGAAGGCACCACATTTGCGGCCTCCTACATCCACTTCCACCACGAAATGCTCCGCTCTAGGACCTTTCTTCAGCGCCACCCAAGACTAGCGAGGGTCCTTGTTTGACCACTCACCTTCTAAGTCTTCTAAGGATTCAGACACATCTAACGTACAGAGCATAGTTTGGTCTAGATGTGTCTGCGGGGTGACTAAGGAGTCATTAGCTTTGGCCTTGTCATGAAGTGGGGAGGGTATCAATCCCACCTCATCTTGAGTAGAAGCAGCTAACACTTCCACTGGCCTCACGCGTTTCCCGAGCTAGAAGCCTGGGAATAGGATGCCCCTATCTTTGGAGTTACCTTTTGCGTAACCTTCGCGTTCTGGCACTTGTACTGCGAGTGTCCGTATTCCCCGCAGTTGATACAAGCGCCACGCGTTCGGCGGTCATGCCACACGTCTTGATCAAGACCTGCCTTAACCCATTCAGCCTGTTTGGTCTGCTTAGAGGCGGCCTTCCCTTGACTCCTAGGTTGGCCTTTCCCTCGGCCACCTGCCTTAGTCTTGACTACCGCGGCGAGGGTGCTACCCTCAGCTACCTCCTCTCCGTCAAACTCTGAATAGTCCATCAGGTCAGCGATCTCGTCAATCTCCGTTTGAGTCCCATCGGACTCAACCATCATCAACTTCGCCCCCTTCTTCTTCCACTCTTGAGGACTCTTCTTCTTCTTCGTGTCATTCTGAGAGGTTGGTTGAGCATTGCCTAGCGTGGCCTCTAAATCTAAGGCTTTCCTAGACAGTGTCTCAAACGAATGGTACTCACTGCGTGCCTCGCTGGCCAGCAAGTTCCTAATGTTCTCTGGTAAACATCTAACAAACGTAGTTAACAGGAACTGATCACTGTAGTTGATGCCTGGGACGAGGATCAGGCTCTCAACGGTAGTCGTAAGCTCTCTGACTGACTTAAATTTACGTTGGTCTAACTTGTTAATCGCATCAGTGGCCGTTTGTGCCTCCTGTGGATTATGCCATCGAGCTTCTATCATTTCCATGAACTAGGGTAAGATGCAGCGGTAACCACTTCGTCCTCTAGCAAGGTTCTCTTGGCCTTTACCCAAACCGGGACTGTCCTCAACCATGTGTTGAGTTCTTCGTCCTTTCTCTCGCCTGAGAAGGCAAGAGGCGGTTTCATTGGGGTCTTGGGGTACCATTGACCTTGCTGTTGTCCAGATTGCTGAACAGGTTGTTGCGGTGGTGTAGCTACCACCGCTGGACCCGAAGAAGAAGATGCAACAGTCTGTGCGACTGCTGCAGACGTACCACTTGGTTGTGTACCAGCTTGAACTGGAAAGAGGCCTGACATCGCCGATAACGGCAACGGCAATTGCGCTGGTGGCCTAAATCCTGGCCTTGTCAAAATGTCCAGGATCTGGTCCAAAGTGCTCTGCATGAAGTCCAACCTGCTGTCCACGTGCACATGCAGCGGCAACATGTTGTCCCTCAACACTTTCATGGGCTCATTCATTCCTGAGTCATCCAAGCCCTCTAACTTAGCTTTGTCAGCCTCTAACGTATCAAGCCTGGCTGCTCTATTCTTTATCTCTTTCTCCCTATCGGTTGTTTCCTTCAGTTCCCTCTCTAATCGTTCACGAATCCTTTCGACCTGTTGGAGCTCCCTGAGCTCCCTTTCGTGAGGAGTCAACGGGCTGAACTGCGAGCCCGCCATTTGACTTGTAGACTGTCGTGATCCTACAACACTGGAAGTGCCCGTGGACCCTGTTGGCATTCCAAACTGGGGTCCAGACGAGAACGCAACAGAAGTTGCAGCGAAGGATGCTGCTGCAGAAGACATGGCTGCTGCCCTGGCTGCTGCTGCAGCCTGCTCCCTAGCTGCACCGTTTGCTGCCTCTCTCGATGCTGCGAGAGCACGAGCTCTGCATTCGACACGAATGCGTCTTTCGTCTTCCGGTTGTAGGGCCTGGAACACGTGCGGGATCCTACGTGACCTCGCACGTGTTAGTCTACTATCGTCAACTCTCTCCTCATCGACGTCTGACCCGTTCATGAATTAGGCAAACATTATCTGCACTAGAACCCCCTAGTGGAGTCCTACCACAACATGTGTCTGACCGACACCTAATTTTCTAAATATAGTTGTGTCCGACAGGTCCCCTGCTGTACCGATCAAGTGGCATGTCTACAACATTCACACAAATTGTCTACATAGTCCAGATGTACTCTGATTGGTTCACTTACACGCAGCATTAGACAAAACTGGATATGGTAGCATACTACAGTCCGAATCTAATCTGTCTGTGAGGTGTTAGCAGTCTTTCCACCAACTAATCAAGAATACAAAATGACCATGTAGTAGATGTATGATTGATGGGTATGGTTGTGTATTCAGATGAGCATCAACTGGAACCTACCCTTCCCCTCCATCCAACATACCGGATAGCATCAATGAGCAAACAGTGTCTTCGTGTGTATTTCGGCCCACCCCTGTGCCCAAGTCGTCATCGAGCAAGCCAGCCAGTCCACTCTTATTTACCCTCGTACGGAACGAGCCTTACTGTCCATGTGATCTGGCTGATCAGGAGGAATTTATAGAGCGCCCCCATCTTTTCAGGAATTCTTTAACGTCGCAGTCAGGACGACGATCACAGCCAGATTCACAATGAACTCCCAACCAGAAATGTTTATAGACGGTCTGGTAAGCGTCTCATAAAAGGCTGGCACACCCGGCGGGACTTCTATTCAGCGCAGCAAGTGCCAACAAGGACAGCAGCCATCGCATGCGTGCACTACTCCCTGTGGGTTGGCATGGTGACCGTGACCCATTGCTTCGACCAGGGCCCTTCAGAGGCACCGCCCTTTCTCCTTCCACATGTTTCCGGGAAGATTGTCGTCTCTCAAGGTAGCGCGCTTACGACACCTCACCAAGGAGAGGACTCTCAAGTTGGACTCACTTCCTCACGGTAAGAAGAGATTGAGAAGGTAGATAAGGTAAGGGATCAACATAGCTGGAGATAGCTGCCCCCAACCACAGATTTCTCACCAATTGAGCTGAAGTTGCATTTGATGACCGGTCATGACCTCGGTACCACCCACAACACAATGCAGTGCCACCTTAGTCCAATGCCACATCAGCATGCTCTCATCATCAATCAAACATTCCGCATGTCACCACGGCATACACTGTCGTCTTAGCCTTCCGGTGCACCCCTCTCTACCGAGGGCGTGCGCCTATATATGGCCTGACGTCACAAGTACCAACTGCGAAGAAGCATCGTCAACGCACCAAATCTGTATAACGCCAGCGTGCCAAAGGTAAGTGGCGATCAAACCAGCTCCGATACCAAATTGCATGGAACATGAATATGGACGAAGCACAGAAATCCAGAATGCAATTTCACACTGAAGTCCAAGTAGTCAAAGCCAAAGCAGATAGCACAATGGAACCGAGTAACCATCCAATTGAGAATGATGCAGAAGAATCGTGAGTCAATGTCCATGCCCAACAGGGCAACACCAACAGCATAACCCAATGTAGCTCTCTCTTATGAATGGCGCCAGGCGCCCTA